AGCTGAGAGAAGCTGGCAGCTCCCCGTGGCCTGCAGCTCCCCCATTCCTTCTCCTTGCATGGGGAAAAAGAAAAGAAACAATAACCAAACCAGGAAGCTGCCACTGCTGCTGTGACATCTGACATGACAATGCTGCCAGACCAGGATACTCCCTGACCTGCTCACAGGTACCGTGGCAATTCCACCCGTGCCCATTTTTCCCTAGCTGAGGGACCCTATTTGAGTGCATGAAACACCACTGGAACAGGCTCTCTGAATAACCAGGAGAACTGTCAGAGTCCTCTTCAAACCACCAAGAAAACGAGTGTTTGTCCTCCCTCAGGCCTGCCTGCTGGAATTACTCAGCATTTCATGATGAGTTGGGGGATGAGTCTGTGGGAAGGAGATAAGGGATGAAAGTAACCTTTTAAAGGAGAAAATGGGAGAAGCCTATGGGGCACTCCAGGTACCCTTTAAATAAAAGAAACTGGGATCTGATTTCTCTATAATTCCTTCTCTAATTCCTCTGAATTAGCCTGTGGGAACTTCTCAGCCCTCACAAAACAAATTGAGCTCCCCACAAGTCAGACCCAAGGACCAGACATCAGACTCACTGGTGAGGCCCCTTCTGGCAGAAGACCTGGCTCAAGCCTATTTGAATCACCACCCATTAGTAAATAAATCACCTTCAAAAAAAGTCAGTTCAACCTAAATTCCATCTAACCTAATAGTAATAAACCATAAACCAGTGAAGATACTAACCTAGGAAATGGACGAACATTGTGTGAGAAGCAAACTTGGGATTTTCAGAGGTGTTGGTCGACACTGAATTTGGTTAAGTAGCTGTGTGATGGCATGTTCTCTGAGACACCTCTGTAAACCTTAATTCACAGGAGGCAAATCTGCCTTTGGCTTTCAAGCTGCAAAATGATCTGGTCCTTTCACATTGCTCAGCATCTTATCCAGTGGAAGTGATTATGGAAGAATCAGGAATTTCTAGAGCTGAGGATTCCCCTCTCTGATGAGGATTCCTGCCTCCATTCCCACTTTAAGGCAAATTAGGTGAAAGGAGATATTCCTAGGGAGAAAATCATGATCAGGGTACCTTATGCCACGCTCCAGCTGCTTTTAGTTACTCCCAATGGCTGGAGGGAGCACAGGCATCAGTTCCATATGCTGAGGAGCTCAGGGATTATTTGGAACCTTGGCTAAGCACTTTCATTCCCCAGCATATTTATTTACTGGATGCAGAGTGGGAAAAAAAAAGGGTCCCATCAGAATTACTCATACAATCAAAGGCCAGGTTGTGGGGGTGCCTCTTGCTCAGGTCTAACATGAAAATAAGGGGTTTAAATTCTCCCTCAGCCACTGAGTCACGTCAGAAAAAGTTCAAAGTCAGTCAGGGCTGGAGATCTTTAACCATGAAATTTCAGGAATTAAGGGGAAAAATAATGCATGAAGTGAAGTGCCTTATAAACACAGTCCTCTAAGAGACAATGCAACATTTAATAGCCCTGAAAATTCACAGGCCAGATGTGGAATTTGACATTCTAATTTAAAATTCAAACATAAGGTTTTTCACATGAAGCTTTTTGATTTTTTTCTTTTTGTAAAAAGTAGAATATGGTTTACAGAAAATTGTATGAGCAGGTCCACAGTGAATAACTTAATTAGGTGGAGTGTAACAGAGCTGCATGCAGCCGTTAGCTAGAAATGTGCACTTTGCTGGCTTTAGCTCTAATTAGTTTTAATTCATCTGCATATATATGAGCTGCTTCATGCACAAACATGCAGCTACACGCACAGGCTGGAGCTTTACCATTCCAGCTGGAAACACAAATGGAAGCACCACGTGGTAAACTGGTACTGAGGACAAAAAGAAAATATATATTTCTTAATATTTAGCCCTGCTCTCTCACATGTCTTGTTCCAGGGAGAAGTGGAACTGAGGGGATTTGCCGAGAGGTTTCGTTTCCGTTCCTGCCCGCGGATTTTGGGTGGCGGGCACGGTGGGAGCGGGCAGTGCCCGGAGCAGAGTGGGTGCCTGTTTCCCAGCAGTGGGAGGCTGGCTGGGCTGGCGGGCAGGCAGCGGCTGCAGCCACTTGCCCCTGCACTGCCGTGCACTCGGATTGCCATGGAAACCCGGCTTTGGGGGGAATTCAGGCTACCCTGGCTTTCCCACAGCCAAGGAGCTGTGAATAAATTCTGCTTACGCTGAGCCGAACATAAATTAAACAATGTGGGATGTGAGGCACAGACCTGCCAGTGCTGCGCCCTTTTAATTCACATTTTCTCGGCAATTTCTGTTTGAAATTTGGCGATATGCCTGGGAGTGACAGAAAGCACCTCTCAGGAGATGACTGGGAGGCAAACATAAGATTTAGCTCAACACATACAGACATTAATGGCAAGTATGGTTTTATAGTTTCATTTTTATGTCAAACCTTTCTCACACTTTTTATGCTCACTGTCTACAAAATCTAGTACCAGGTTTGCCTACAAAAATCACCAGCTTTTTTATAGAAATTTACTTTGTGCATCCCTTTTGCCACAGGTGGCGTGTACACTTGCAGAATAGCTGCTACAACCCTTTTAGAATTTAGACCACAATAAGAACTGCTCAGATTAAATTCTGAAAATTTTTTTAAAGTTAATACTCCTGCTGCTATCAATAGGATTAGCAGAATTAAGAAATGGAGAAGAAAACATTTTAAAAATTGTGAGCATTTTTAATGGCAAGATGATTGCTTTCTGTAGTTCTCCCAAGCCGGGCTCACCTGTAAATAAAACACCTCCCACAGAAAGCCCCAGGTGGGTGTTTTTTACATCTCCCATGACAATGGTCCAGTTTTATGCCTGTGTAACTTCACACAGCACCAGCGCCAGCTCTGAAGGTTTGAACATGAAGTAGTAAATAAAAAATACCAGTCTGACAGCTTTTTGAAGCATTCGGCAGAGATACAAAGTCGGCGTTAAGCTGCTTTCCTTAGCAAAGGCACTTTTTTATTACATTGTACTGGAGACGCCTCACGACCTCCCTTGCAGCTGTTATTTTTTATAGAGCAGAGAACACACAAACCCCTTCTCTTTGCTACAAGAGCTGGTTACTGTGAGCACTGCCTGCAGTTCTGTGACCTGCCCCAATACAGCACAAGAAACCAAAATAAAGGAGAGCTCAGCTGCCATCCACGCGGGAACTGTACACACAGAGAGTGTGGAAAAGGCTTTCAGCTTCCAAAACTGATCCAGTCAGAGAAATTACCGAATTCAAACTCGGCCAGGATGGCCAGCTTCAGGGATTTCAACGGTGTCTATTACATCATGTTTCACAAGAACAAGCCTGTTGTTTTCACTTCAGCCTGCTTTAAGAGAGGCATGTGTAATGCTCTCAGGAATGAGGCAGGAGCAGGAATGGTTCTGTGGACGGGACTTTTTAATGATTAAGAGTTGGTTCCATGCAGATTCCCACGCAGACCTGCATGACCCTGCCTTTCCCAGCAGCTGAGTAAAGCCCTGCTTCCTCCTCTCCCTGAACCTACAGTTCCCAGTACACACACATTGCAACACACCCTGCTCCTGTGAAGCAATCCTCAGCTGCGACAGTTTTTATTGAAACTCAGATTCTCCAAAAGTTCCTGAATCTTTACTCACAACTCCTTCCCCTACCCCTCAGCTCACCCCCACGGTTCCTATTTTTATGGTTGAAACAGTGAGCTAATTTCTCTCAATTCCACCAGAGCACCAAAACACTGTCAGGGAAAAGCAATAAATCAAAGAGGGAAGAAAACCTAGAAAAATATTTGTGCTGGAACACATTTTAAGAATATAGGTGATTTATGCAGAAGAAGAAAGGCACAAAGCAGTGATTAGAAATAAACTTGAATTGAAAAATACTCAGCCAAAAAGCCTAAATTAAGAACATGCTGAGCACCAGAGAGAGCTTGGAGACAAAGTCAGTGCTATTAAGCTTTCTGCATTAAACAATTAAATGAAGCAATTAGATTTCAGAAAGGAGACAATTATTTCAGGAATGAAACAAAGGCTGGAGGAAATGCAGCTGCCTGAGTGTGGAGAATGAAGAAAAGGAAACCAAAGCATTGTATTAGAAATGTTCACAACAGCCAATTTGTGTAAGAGGATTTTTAATTAATGGTCTAGAAAACCTTTTTTAACCTAGTAATGAAAATAATGCAATTTTGGAAAAGAAAACCACCTCAATATGTGATTATAATTGATATCTTCAAAAATCATAGGCAATGGCAAGTAAGTGCTGAAAGGGACTGAGAAGTGACATGGAAAAACAACTCTCTGAGATGAGAATTCTCCTGAGATGGCACTCTTAACTCTGCATGTTTTGATGTGCTGTTTTCTCAAGGCTGTGAGGAAAGATTACTCTCATGAGACCAAAAGGAAAAGGTTTGAGTAATTCCTCACAGGCAGATACTCTTGCAAAGCATCCTAAAGGATTTGATAAAATGGGCAATTAAGTTATTTGTCTTACTCACTCACAGCTTTAAGTGCAGGCTGACACTCCACAGAGCACCCAAGACTCTGTCAATTCGTTCTGAGCACTTCCTCTAAAAACCCGACCAAGCTTAGACTAAACCAGAAGCCAGGCTTTTAATTAATTCTCAAACAAATATGACATCCTTAGCACAGATTCGCTACCAGAGGAAAAGAGAAGGAAGTTTACCCACTGGCAGCCTGTCTCCCAAGCACACTGGGCCTGAGTTTAGGCTCCTGAGGGCTGGCAGGGCATCTTTTTTTCCTTATACCTCCCTGAGTGACAGCATTTAAATGCTGCTGCTGCTGGCAAACTGCAGCCTGTTGAGCACTTCTGAGAAACTCAACGACAAAACACTTCGCTTTTTGTCTTTAATATCCCAAGATGGGCACTGGTAACACAATGCTTGTTTAGCACCACTCCTTGCTTCCAAACTGTCTTTAACATCCACTTTCTCCCAGAGATCTCACTGCAGACAGCAATCCCATCAAACAAGAAAAAACCCTGTTCCACTTATTGGTTTTTTAAAGGAATTATTTTTAATTAAATGTACACAGAGTTATACAATATAAAACTGTAATTCAAGTTATAAAAATATGTATGAGTTCAAGGTGTTTAATTTGAAAAGAAAAGGTTGTCAACTGGATCAGAAAACATTCCCTTACAAATTCCACTCTTTATCCTTCCTCCCAATAACAAGATTTTGTTCCCTTAATTTAAGTTGATTTTGATTTCGCATAAACAACATTTTAATCTCTCATAAAAATGTTCTTAATTGGCTCTGAGGTATGGCACAGATTGATGCAGTCTAGGTTATTGCTTTCAGACACAGTAAAAGGATGTACAAAATCCTTAAAGAAACAAGAGGTTTTTAATTCCTGAAGCAGAATATTTCTTGTAGCTGATGAGCTCTTGGCTACAACCAACAGGTTATTCCAACTGATTCCTAAAATATCCTGGCTGCATGCAGTAGGCAGTATGCTCCTCCTATTCCACATAAATCTGCTTGGAGAAGCAGAAGACTTATTAAAAGTGGATAAGAAAAGCAATTGAGAGAGAGATTGGACTTGGAGCTGCTGCAGGGCTGTTTGAGCACTCACATAACCTATCCTGCTCACTTCCACTCCTCTGCCCTGCTCAGGGATTGCTCAGAGGCAGGAAGGAAAAACTGCTGGAGCAATCCTTTTCTTTAGATACTGCAGAATTGTTACCCCTGGTGTCTATGAAACAAAAATCTCCAAAACACTTGAGCTGGTCATCCAGCTGAAGCTCAGCATCTCCTCCTGGGAGCCTGGAATTGACAACTGATACAAGTAAAGGAAGTAAGAACTTGGAAAACTCTGCCTGCTGGAGAGGCAGACAGGTGGCAACGCCTGTATTTCCCTTTTTTTGGATACAAACAGTGATACCACAATTGGAAAGATACTGAGAATCGGCACACAATCCTGTTTTGGGCAGGGAGGGACCTAAAAAATCATCCACTTGCAACCAATGACTCTTTCCACTCGACCAGGTTGCTCCAAGTCCCATCCAGCCTGGCCTTGAGCACTCCTAGGAATGAGGACAAGAATCATTGAAGGGAAAAAAGCCCTGACTGAAAGGATTTTTCTATCATGTGAACTTATGGTAGTTTTCACTAATTACAATTAAGCCTCACTGTTTGAGTAAGAGGCACCATGAGCAACAAAAACTTGAAAATTGTCAGTGCCATGACATTTCTGCAGAGCAGTGACAGGTTATGTGCTGACACCTGGCCTTCACAGCAATGGCACCACATAAAAACAACTTGGGAAGAGCTGGAAGGTGCAGCATCAATTAAACCTCTTCCAGTATCTAGCCAGGCACTTGGGAGATGCCTGCAGAAACGCAGGATCCTACAGCTGTTCAAGCAGTAATGATTTCATGGGATTCTCCTCCCTGAGGCCTTACAGCCCTGCATGTCCTGGACTGTGCAACTGTGCAATTTCTCCAGCCTTAGGTCAGGCGTGAAGGCCACTGACTGACTGAAGTTTGTTCCAGATGAAAGCTGAGAACTGAATCTGACACAGGTTCATGAATCCTGTTCCCTCTGTGAGTGGCTCACACCTTCCAGCACACAGGAGCAGCCTCTGTGACAGAGGTCATGGAAGGATTCCCAGCAAGTCACAGCTTTGAAAAGAGGCTGCTGTAAACATCTGTGAGACACACAGTCTCTTGGATGGTTTCAGGAGAGCACTTCCTCTGGGATGATGAAGGCACTTGGTGCAGACGTTTGATTTCATTTTCAAACCCAGGCACGTTTTTTCCAAGAAAGCCACCACAATATTTAATGTCCCTCTTGCACTGCAGTCTGAGGTTACAGTTGTCTTAATGTCCTTTCATGGACAGCAAATATATTTGATGAATTACCTAAGATATTACTTTATGCTACTCCAAAAGAAAAGCCAGCATCCAGCTGAAAGGTTTACTCCTTCTCCCTTTTACACTGTATTTATGATAGGCCATAAAAAAAAATCCAATCTCTCAATGACATTTTAAATTCCAGTTGCCTCAGAAGTGTCCCATGGATGTATTTCCAGTGGAGATGCATCTGAAAAGTGACTACAGCAAAGCAAATCTTTCATGGTGAGTGGCAGAACAAGAGTGACAATTTCTAGAGAATGGAGTTTGGATCTTGTGAAAGTTAAAAATATCTTGAAAGAAAATCAAACTACAAAGTGTTCCCTGAAAGGAATCTGTTTCCATGTCAATTTTTACCTGAGCATAAATTAACTTCTTAAGGCACATAAATAAATGGCATGATAAGCAGCCAGCGATAATTATTTTGGTTCAGAAGAGAAGAAGGCACCCTGACTTTTTTCATTCAAAGTTTTACACTATTTCATCTGGTTTCCATGTTCAGCTGTGAGATCTTCTCTTCAACCTTGTCTGCAGCGTATTTCAGATTGCAGGCTTGGAGGGCTTTTATTAAGTCAGCCACCTTTGCATCCTTCCCCTTCTGCACCTGCCACTCCCGAAGTCCCTGAAAAAGCTGCTCATACAAACTATTTGGATAGGCTGCCACTACCCTGTCCAGCTTCACCTCTGACATCCCGAGTTCTCGCAGCAGCTTCTTCCAGTCTCTCCCAACGTTGTCACATATGACATTAATAGCGACTTTCAGGAGACCTGAAATAGCAGAAGCAGATCAAGTTAGCCATGGATTTACTAAGAAATACTTTAAAACGTTTAGAAGTTGTTGTTTTATTTCAGCAAAACGCCACTACTCTTGTTGCACTGCACAAACCGAGAGTTCTGTGGAAGCCACCGGATAGACTTGGAATCCCAAAAGATAAAAGAAAAGGAAGATTAAAAAGGGGGTGGGGGGGGGAAATTCCAACCCGGAAAAACGTTTGTGTACACATTACTGGGGTTGCTGGGGAGCGATATATACGGGGTATACCTATAGACATAAAACTATATATATAATAATAATAATCCACCTACGTTTTTCATGAACATCTGGCTGATCATCAGGTGCATGAGGTTCTTCCTCTTCGAACTGCACCACCTGTGCCAGCAAATCGCTCCTACGCATTTCCTGCAGCATCTTTTTCAGGAATTCCAGGTTGTTGTGGGTGATCAGCTGCTGCTCCATCAGGATGATGAAGAGCTCCCGGCCGCTTTGCACCTCATCAAGTTTTCGCTTCCCAATTTTGTCCTTGCAGAGGAACTTCATCTGGGAGAGCTCCGCGTCCGACAGGCCCGAGGCGATGGAGTTCAGCAGGCTCAGGAAAGGATTCACGGCGGCGGGGCCCGCGCTCAGCAAAGGCCGCGCGCGGGGGATTTCGGCATCCTGTCCCAACGTTCCGGAGGAGAAAGCCATTCCTGTTGGCACAGAGCGACTTCCCGGGAACGCGGAGAGACGGCGGAGACACAGCGGAGAGACCAACCCAGCCAAGGCCGGCCCTGCCCCGCCGCGATGGCCGCGACCCGTGCCCGGAACTCACGTGACCCCGCGGGTTTCCCGCCCGCCCCAAGATGGCGGCCGCGCCGCCGCCCGTGAGGGGAGGGGTGCGCGCACTCGCCGCCGCCTAACCCGGGGCTGGGGACGCGCTGCCCCCAACCCCTCCCGAGGTGAACGGGCTCGTGTGGTGCTGCTGAATCCGAGCGTGTGCTGGAGCCGAGCTCGGCGCTGCCCGTGTCCTGCTGCAGGAGAAGTCCCGGTGCCTCAGTGCCTCAGCCGTGGCCAGGTCACCGCAGAATCAAAGAGTTACAGAATCACAGTTACAGAATCACAGAGTCACAGTCACAGAATCACAGAATCAGAATCACAGAGTTACAGAATAACAGAATTAAGTCGCTTGGGAAAGACCTCGGAGATCATCGAGTCCAATCTATGACTGAGCATCACCACGTCAGCCAGAGCATGGCACTGAGAGCCACATCCAGTCTTTTGTTAAACACTTCCAGGGACAGTGACTCCGTCATCTCTCTAGACAAGCCATTCCAATGTCTGATCAACCTTTCTGCAAAGGAATTCTTCCTATTATCCGACCTAAACCTCTCCTGGTGCAGCTTAGACTGTGTCTTCTTGTCCCATTCCCGTTCCCTGGGAGCAGAGCCCGGCCCCGGGGCTGTCCCCTCCTGTCAGGGAGTTGTGCAGAGCCACAGGGTCCCCCCTGAGCCCCCTTTTCTCCAGGCTGAGCCCCTTTCCCATCTCCCTCAGCCCCTCCTGGTGCTTCACTCCCTTCCCTGAACATGCTCCAGCCCCTCCATGTCCTTCCCAAATCGAGGAACCCAGACCAGGACACAAGACTCAAGGCGTGACCTCAGCCAAGCCTGAAGTTGGGGGAACTGTAGATTTCCTGTTTAATACAGAATCACTGGATTTCTTGTGAACACCTACCCCTATAAGGGTTAATCTCTGTGGGATTTTTTTTTCAAAAGGTGGAAAGAAAGACAGTGCAAGGATGAAAGGTTCAGCATGGGGATGAGGAGGTTCAGGGGGTACCTTTTGGCTCTCACTGAGAGGAGCATGTAGACAGAAGGGGCTTGGTCTCTTTTCCCAAGGAAAAGGGGATGGACAAGGGGAAAATCACCAGAGGAGGTTTAGGTGGGATATTAGGAGAAATTTCTTCACTGAAAGGGCACACAGGCATTGGAACAGGCTGCCATGGGGAAGTATTGGGGTTACCATCCCTGGAGAGATTTAAAAGACATGAATTGGGGTGCTTTGAGACATGGTGGTGGACTTGGCAGTGCTGGGTTAATAGCTGGGCTCAATGATCCTCAAGGTCTTTTCCAGCCTTAGTTGTTCAATGGTTCTATGATTCTATAAAGGGCTTTCTCCACCACAACAGAGCCCTGCCCCCAAAGAAATGCCATTCCCATGGTTTCCCTGCCTGACAGCTGCCCAGGGAAGCAGGCTCTGCCCTCCCTGTGTGGCCCCTGCTGTCCCCACAGACCCCCAGCCTTTCCCTGGAAACACAGGGCATGCAGCCTGGCCTTTGTTCCTCATGAAGATTAATTGTGACACAAAGTACCTCCTGACCTTTAAGAGGCAAGAAATAGGGCAAATGTTAAGTCCCTGTATTTTAGAGGTGACTCTTACACAGGGTGGAAGGTTGTGAACTTTTCTTAAATGGGAAAGATCAAGTTCATCCCATTGTTTGGTAGGTGCCTTTTGGTTTTTCTTCTCAGCACATGTAGATAGTTCAGAGATTTCCTTGTTCCTTCTGTGAGTGCTGGCATATTGATTCCCCAAGCTACCCCATTCCTAAGTTGTTTCCAGCACACTTTATTATTCTTACAACACACAGGCATATGTTCTCTCATCAGAAAAAGATTTCTGACTGATAAATGGATTTAAACACTTTCATTCTCCTCATCTCCATCTCCACTCTCACATTCTGACGTGAAGGCTGACCCCCAAAGCATTTCTAAAACACTAACAGGCACAAGCCCTCCTTAGATAAACCCACTAGATATTTTTGTTTATTTCCTAAATGCTGCAGACTGGAGGGAATTAACTTGTTGCAAGGTCTTGTGGTAAAACAAAGAGTGAGAGGAATCCCCACGGTGAATCTGAGCTGGGACAAGACGTACCTGATTTAGGAGGTTGGTTTTTTTCAGCCCTGAATGTACTTTAAACTCAAAAAAGGACATTAACAAAAAGGGTAGCATAGGAGAAATACATTTGCTGTGTGTGCATTAATTTATGAAGCAGGAGTAACCCTTGTAATGGTATAAGAAGTATAAAATCCAGTTAAATAAAATTTCTTTTTAATTTTGCCAAGGAAGGTGACTCTACAAAACAGCAGGGACCAAATCACATGGTGCCTGGTGAGGGCAACCAGCTGAATTCAGAGACAAATCTACATGAGAGAAGTCTAAATCAGTACAATTTATACCTTTATTCTCTATACCCTGACATGCAATTGAAAACAACATCAACTGAGATTTTAATCAGTTGATACAAACCTAGTGGCCAGATTCAGTACTGAGGTACAAGGAGCCTGAAAGTGATGCTGCACATTTATGTAATTCCAAAGGTGTCTAAATTAGTAACAAATGTGAAACTGAAAGACACAAATCAATATTTTATTAAGATTCTTAAATGCTTTTAAACTTGCTCCTAATGGAAGGCAGAGTGATTGAGCAGGGTCTTTTATGCTGTCCAAACCTGACTTGCACACATTCACCAGTAACAATACCCACTGGAATAAATTGCTCTATTCCAGTGATTTCTTTTGGAAGCAGTTCCTGGGGCTTTGGCAAAGAAAGTATTAGGCGAGCCTAACAGATTGTAAGCACTTCTGCATCAGAATAAAACTTAATAGAAATGATTTATTCGAGCAGCTCAGATTTCAGTAGAAGTTTCCCAGAAATTTAAGTGCTGTGAATGATCTGGTTCCTAACCAATAATCCTCAGGTTTCTCTAGGCAAGATGAGTCCTTGCAAAATACTGCAGAGGGAGCTCGAAGCCTGGGAGTGCTTCAGACTTGGCTTTGGCTTCACTTGCTGGAGGAGCAGGGCAAAGAGAGAACGGAAAGATTAATTTCAGCAGAGCCCGTAGGGAGGTGTCAATCACCAGGACATTCGGGCAGGAAACATCCATTTGGGGACTGCAAAAATGGCAAAGCGTGGGGCTGTCCTGAACTTTGGGTGATTGAGGTGTGTTTGTGTGGAAACTCAAGAAAAACCTTCATTATTTCCAGCCGAGGCAGCTGGTGCAGAGAAATGGGAGTATTCAGGAGCTGCTGGGTTTTTAAGTGAAGCAGCTTGATAATTTCTTTAATTTCCCATGCAATTCGATAGCAGATGACCCAGGGGGAATTTAAAATCCTCATCCTGACGGTTCTGAGACACAGGTTGGGCAAACACCTTGGCACAGACAGTGCTGAGGAGCTGTTTCTCTTTTGAGGCCCAGTCGACTGTACACTTCTTTTAATGTACCTACTCCTGGCTCCCAAGGGAATTCATAGCACCTTCTTTTTTCTTTGCTGTCTTCAAGATAAGAGGAGATTTTGCACAAAAAAAGAGCAACCCCTCCCTACTAGCAGAATTGGGCTGCAAGAGGTTTTTAATTTGCTTGCTTGCTTTTTTACTCCCATGGTGAATAAACTGATTTCCATACAATTTCTTAATTTATTTATGCAATGCCTCTCACTCATTTTTTTTGCAAAACCCTAAAATGGACATTTTCAGCAAAGAAAAGACAGGTTCTGTATTTTCTTTTGTGAATGCATTGATCTGCACATGTTTATTTTGTCGGCTGTCCCCCCTCTGTTGCTATAACATCCAGTCTAGAAAGAAGTGCTCTGGTAGAGATACTCATTTGTGAAGAGATGGAGGATCTTACGAGAAAACTGTCCCTGACAAAAGGGCCTGTAAGAAATGTCAAATTATTGTGGGTTGAGAGAGAAAATTAGAAGCAGAGTGTGGGAAAAGTAAATAAGTACTGAAAAGAGAGTGAACTCTGGCATGACTAGGTTGTATACAGATAAAAGATCTGGCCAAGTAACAACAACAACAAGCAATAAGTTGTTAACAGATGCTTGAACTTAATATTGAAACAGCAGAAGTGTTGATATAATTCTGTTGATATAGTTCTGTTGTGTTATTGTTGGAAGAAGAAGTTAGTTTAACTTTAGGGGAAGGGTAAATTGTAGACTTTTGTTTATTTGCTCCGGCTAAAAACCTCTGACTTGACTTTTTACCTATTTTTGTATTGAATTTTCATCATACCATGGAAGTATGAAATCATTCAGACAAACATTTCACATGTCAATAAAGCTGTGTGTATATATTAGCCCAGCACATCTCATTCCTCTAAACCATATTTATTACTTAAGCTCTGCAACATCAATTTTGCACTTGGAAAAACAGAAGAACAGAGAAGACAGAGAGCAAGGGTTGTTTGCAGAGGAATGTCGTTGTGAAATGACAAAACGTCCCCAAATAACAGTGAATGATCATTAGATCTCTTTTGGGGCCCTTTCTATTTCTATTCTGTTCAGTTCCTGCTCTGTGACTGGCTGAGGGCAAAGCAAAGCAAGTTAAGATCCAAACTGGAAGTTGCTATTCATCCAGGGAAATAATCCAGCAGCTCTCATTGCCAGGCTTGGAGGCTAATACTAATTAATTTCTGCAGAGTATGTATAATTTGTTCTTTATTTTCCTGAGCTGCTGTATTGCCTGCTCCTAAATCAGAAAAAATGATGAAAAGGTAAATACTTTCCACAATAACATTTGTTTTCTGTAAATTGAGGTGTTTTTCTTCATTCTCCATCTTTGTATTAGAAAATACAATACTCTGAGCAGCTACAAAATAGAGGTTAAGGTAATAAAAATAATAATTTTGCAGAAAATTGATCAATTTTGCACCACTTTGGAGTACTTCTTATAAGCATGCCGTTAGTTCTGTACCACAGGACTTTATCCTCCCACCCAAGGAGAAGTTTTC